TCCTTTACAAGGTGTGCTTCATTCCCTGGAACCTTCACTCGTAGCGCCAGACATCTAAATTTGATTACAATCTTTATTGATGGTTTTAGGCCCAACAGCATGCCTCGGTGTTATTGCCGCTCCCTCACCAAGAGGAGCAGTTTGTGACGTACATCTGTTGTACGTTTGCTCTAAAGGTGAGTCGGTCAAAATATGGGAACAAGAGCAATACTCGTTTTGAACGCTAGAGGGTGTCCTGGTACTCCATATCCTGTATTTTTACGTTGCGTCCAGACAGTGCAGTTCCTCCACAAGCTGATTGTGCAGTTATCTGTAGACGTCTTCTTCATTGACTGGGAAAGACCACGCAGCAAAGCAAGCAGGAATGTGCCAGGTGCTAAAATAGTAGTCACTGTAAGCTTTCTAATTGCGGGTAATGTCTTTGTTTCCATGTGTGTTTATACTACGTGCCCCCGTTTCAGCCAACGGTCAGCAGAAATGTGACGCCTCTCCTGTCAGCATCTGGAGGACCTACTTTGTGGCCAACGAGTGGAACGAGATCCAGACCATCCGCAAGATTCGGCCAAACTTCCAGATCATGGCTGTGCTCTTCTTCCTTGAAGTGCTTCTCACTCTACGCATGGCTTGGTTTTTTGTTTTTTTAACTGACATCCCTGAGTCAATATCACTCTCGATGATTTGTGTAGGTGTTGGGTTTCTCGAATTTAGCCCTGAGGGACCCGTGGCCAACTCTGCAGCGCCCCCCGCAAGTGTACACACCTTCATACAGCCTTATCATGCGCTATGGTCTGTCGGCAACACTCTGGCTCTGCATTGGACTTCTGCAGGTTTTCACTTTTATTCCTCACTCCATATTGAGCCTTAATGCGGTGCTAACCTCTTAATGGATGTTAACATTGATCCACACAGGTCATTTTTTTCACCGTATTTTATGAGCATTTTGTGGAAGACAAAATCCGCCAGTTTGTGGATCTCTGCTCCATCAGTAATGTGAGTAACTTTGTGTCAAATTGTATTTTACTGAGCTAATGAGGAATCTGCATGTATTTTCCGCGTCACATTTCCAAAAACGTTCATGTTAGGTTAATTAAAGACAAAATCAGGGGTAGGCAAGTATAGCAAGCTCTATGTTTTTTTACATCCCGCCCTGAACATTTACAGGAGTGGGACAATGTGTCCAAGGATAATTCAAGTTTTTATCTGTTTGTTAAGCTTCACTTGAGTGTATTTTTTTCTTTGCAGATTTCCGTGCTTGTCTTACCTCAGCGCTGTTTTGGCTACTACATCCATGGGCGCTCTGTCCACGGCCACGCTGATACAAACATGGAGGAAATGAACAGCAATCTGAGGAGAGAAGCTGTATGTCCACTTAAAGACACGATTATCACTTTTACACACGTTGTTCAATTTGCATCTGTCTCACATGTAATCTTTCCCATGTGAAGGAGTCACTGTGTGGCCAACGAGGTCTTCTTCCCAACACAGACATGCAGACTTTCCAGGTGGCCCTTTCCACACGGCTGCGCTCGCATTACGACAGGATACGGGACTCCTTCACCAAGGTTTGTGCCTGTCTCTCCACTCAGAATGTTGTCAAGGAAAATGTTTGGATTTTAATATTTCTTTTTTTTTAAATTGATTTTCAGCGACACGGACCATCAAGGCTCATGGACGCGGCCTCATTCAACCAGTCTGACCAAAACATCCGAGCCTACCAAACCATGAACCACTTTCTTGGATCAGTCATAGATCATGTTAGTCACCCCCATGAGGCTTTACATGCTGTTATTTGTTCCATTCTCTTCCTATTTTTTTTCCAGTCATAGATCATGTTAGTCACCCCCATGAGGCTTGACATGCTGTTATTTGTTCCATTCTCTTCCTATTTTATTATATTGAATTTTCCATTCCATTTTTAAGATGTTGTCTTCTGTAGTCACACTGTCATCCTCTCCTCAGGCCCACCCTGACATGGACTACATTGTAAGAGACAAACTGGCGTTGGAGAGGATCATGGGCATGGAGTTCCTTGAACCGAATGATAAGAGCATCTTTTATAATGGTATCAACTTGCTGTTTGAACATGATGTACATTTGCATTTGGTGATGCATGCATGCAAAAAGATAATGACTGTTTGTCACCGCAGATGAAGGACACTCCTTCGGTGATACACTCTATTATGGAAATGAGGGCACGCTGCTCATTTTTGACACACTGTTCTTCTGCGTTGTCGACCTCGCTTCTCAGAACTTTGTACTTGCTGCTGTCCTTACATACTTACAGCAAATGGTCAGTATTTTGTAGATATACAGAAAAGTAAAGTGTATAGTTGGTGCATCACCATTACTTGATTGTAATAAAACATTTGTTTATTCCAAACAGATCTTTGAAAGGATTCGCAATTCTTTCGGAAGGAGAAACCTCGTCAACAAAACACTGGTGGATGACAGATTTTTGATATGATCACTTATGGTAGCCGTATTGTTAAACTGTAATTTATGCTTGGTTTTATGTTGCAGTATTTGCAATTCACTTTTGAAGACATTTTTATATACCTATTCCTCGTTGTGTTATATATTTTCCTTGTCAATTTATTTTTATAGATTAATGCATTTTTTACATTAATTTTAATTCACTGTGCTTCTGTTATTTCAATTTATGTTACTCTGGGCGAGAGGTGGGTGTACTGGTCGCCAGCCAGTCACAGGACATTTAGAGACCAAAGAAAAAAAAACTTTCACACTCACAGTCACACTACTGGAGAATTCAGAATCTTTGATGAAGCAAGATATGCCCCATCCATGGTTTTATGCAAGCGAATTGGTTGATGTTGCTACAAAAATTATCGTTGAATACATTGTCTCTTCTACCAGGCTGAAAACCAGCAGATGAAGGACACTCCTTCGGTGATACACTCTATTATGGAAATGAGGGCACGCTGTTGATTTTCGATACGCTGTTCTTCTGCGTTGTCGACCTCGCTTCTCAGAACTTTGTACTTGCTGCTGTCCTTACATACTTACAGCAAATGGTCAGTATTTTGTAGATATACAGAAAAGTAAAGTGTATAGTTGGTGCATCACCATTACTTGATTGTAATAAAACATTTGTTTATTCCCAACAGATCTTTGAAAGGATTCGCAATTCTTTCGGAAGGAGAAACCTCGTCAACAAAACACTGGTGGATGACAGATTTTTGATATGATCACTTTTGGTAGCCGTGTTGTTAAACTGTCACTTTTGAAGACATTTTTACATACCTATTCCTCATTAAATGTTCGAGCTACACTTCTCTAATTATCAAAACTTATTACGGAACGAGCTGCATAGAGGTTTGAAAATAAACCTCAATTTGCTAAATTGAATTTACCATTTAAAAAAATTAGGCGTACCTTTCGTCGAGTCTGTTATTTATTTATTTGTTTGTCATTTTGGTGGGTGTACTGGTCGCCAGCCAGTCACAGGACATTAAGAGACCAAAGAAAAAAAACTTTCACACTCACAGTCACACTACTCGAGAATTCAGAGTCTTTGGAGAAGCAAGATATGCCCCATCCATGGTCTTATGCAAGAGAATTGGTTGATGTTGCTACAAAAATTATCGTTGAATACGTTGTCTCTTCTGCCAGGATGAAAACCACCACCCTGCTATGGCATTAAACATTCTCCATCTAATCTGAAAAAAAAACAGGTTAGGTGTATTTGTATTAATATTAGTTACATGCTTTTAATTGTCACTTAACATTAGCAGACTTGAGGTGGGAAGCCTGTGCCAACCTTTGCTAGTTTTTCTTTATCGCTGCCATATCCAAAAAAGTCAATACCACGTAATAACATGACAGCGTTTCACATTTACCTGTGATACGTTTAACACAATAATGTGATAAGTTTGACATTTTAACGATATAACTTATGTCAGAGACTTTCGCGTGCTTCGGTGCACGGCGTTTAATGGCGGTTGACATTGGTTGCCAATGGGGTCTTTATTAAATGTTCGAGCTACACTTCTCTAATTATCAAAACTTATTACGGAACGAGCTGCATAGAGGTTTGAAAATAAACCTCAATTTGCTAAATTGAATTTACCATTTAAAAAAATTAGGCGTACCTTTCGTCGAGTCTGTTATTTATTTATTTGTTTGTCATTTTGTAATGTAAGTTCAGTGTTTGTACTTTTGTACTTCCACATCGAATAGTCTGACTACTTTTGCCACTTGGTTGTACTTTATGTGTGTTAAGTACAGTACAGTATGTGACATGACAATGATCGGTCAAGGTCTTATTTTGACGCATCTTATTTTGAAAGTCTTTATTTTCCTGTGGGTCGTCACTGATTTTGCGTTGAGCGCTCAGCCAATGAGCTTCCACTTTGCGGTTGGGGCGCTGTTGGACTAGCGCGACGTCTGGCTGGCAGTGCTTGGGCTGTAGTTTTTCTTTATCGCTGCCATATCCAAAAAAGTCAATACCACGTAATAACATGACAGCGTTTCACATTTACCTGTGATACGTTTAACACAATAATGTGATAAGTTTGACATTTTAACGATATAACTTATGTCAGAGACTTTCGCGTGCTTCGGTGCACGGCGTTTAATGGCGGTTGACATTGGTTGCCAATGGGGTCTTTATTAAATGTTCGAGCTACACTTCTCTAATTATCAAACCTTATTACGGAACGAGCTGCATAGAGGTTTGACAATAAACCTCAATTTACTAAATTGAATTTACCATTTAAGAAAAATAGGCGTACCTTTAGCCGAGTCTGTTATTTATTTATTTGTTTGTCTGTTTATAATGTAAGTTCAGTGTTTGTACTTTTGTACTTCCACATCGAATAGTCTGACTACTTTTGCCACTTGGTTGTCCTTTATGTGTGTTAAGTACAGTGCAGTACAGTATGTGACATGACAATGATCGGTCAAGGTCTTATTTTGACGCATCTTATTTTGAAAGTCTTTATTTTCCTGTGGGTCGTCACTGATTTTGCGTTGAGCGCTCAGCCAATGAGCTTCCACTTTGCGGTTGGGGCGCTGGTGGACTAGCGAGAAGTCTGGCTGGCAGTGCTTGGGCTCGAGCCATGAGCTTTAAGAACGTCTTTACATTCAAGAGTGCAGGTGGGTGGCTTTACTTTATGCAGAAGAACCAACTGAATCCGACAAGTACTGTATAGCTTTTTGAGTGACCTCGACACAGTTTCCCTGTAAATCGTAATTGAAGTGGTGGGTGTAACCCCTGATTCCATTTCGCATTTGGCAGCGCTTCCCTGTTAGCCGACGCATTTGCAAGCCAAATGAGTACTTAACCTTGTCGGATTGCAAACTGTCAGACGTTTAAGTCATTGCGCGTTTTTCTTTTCGTGTCGCGAGCCATGATAACTACTGTAGTTTTCTTCGACGCTCTCCCTCGCTGCTAGCTCGGCGATGTAATGTGATGTCAACAAATAAAGCAACTTTGCCACAGTTGCTGGCTCCCAATGGTTCACTTTTCGTCTTGTGTTTATGGAGGACACACAGCCTGGGTCCTCCGTCGAGGTGTATTATTACTATGAGGAACGCAGCATCCGCACGCTTGGACATACCTTTGATTATGTAACATGGAACTAGCATCCGGAGCAGAAGCCAACCCACTAAGTTATGACCGCATCAAAAATTTCTCACCGCCCAAACCTTAAGCTGACGCTATTTTCAGCAGGTCTGCTGACCTACACTTGCTTGCAGCTCCAGCCACAAAGTATTTAGTTATTGTGTGTCTGCCAGTCCTTGTCTCGAGTGCCACAGGTTTTGTTTTCATGATGAAATAGACTTCACATGCTGTGATAGCCTCGCAGCCGAATGAGGATAAGCATAAAATAAATAGTTGCATCGATTGTGGGGCTTGTTGTTGTGTCGCTGTTTCTAATATTTTGACTTGAGCTACACAAGATTATGCATCTGTACTTAATGTCCTGTTTGCAGTCGTCGATCCTGTGGTTGACATCCCTCTAAGCTAAGTGCAGTTAATTATTCAGAGTAATGTTGCTATGTAATGGTCTTTGTTTTCTCGTACTCATCAAGTAGACATCCGTGGGGAAGTTTTCACGTATGATATGTATTTTTCTGCAAGCCATCGTGGCATCTGTCCAACTGTACATGCAATGGTTAAGAGTTGTTCTCGGTGGCTTACTTGTCAAGTCCACAGCTTAAAACACAGAAGTCTTCACATTCTTCATCTTGACCATGTTGAGGCTGGCCCCTTCGTATACTACATTTTATCCATCTGCACTGTGAAACAATATCCTATCGCAATATCCTATCAGTTTTATACCATTTGTCGAGATGTGAACAGAGACTATATTTCTATACACCTCACAACTGAAATAACTGCATATGTGCGTCTGCAGTGCTCTGTCTGCCATGCCCGTGATGTCACAGCTGTTCAGGGGCTTGCCTCGGGTGAAAGTCTTGTCATCCCATCTGTTACCATGCCAGCCTCAATTGGTGTCATCCGCCTCGTGGCGCCCTAACCACATGAGTCACACTCCCTCAAGATGTTACCAGACCACCTCCACGCTTCACAGCTACATCCTCACTCCACCTCAAGTAAACTCCATACTCAAAGCCAACGAGTACAGCTTCAAGGTTCGCTGGAAAACGCCTCCGCGCCATCTCCGTGTTCAATAGTTGCTCTAATTTGGACATGCGTGGGTGCTTGTAGGTGCCCGAGTTTGATGGCAAGAACGTGTCATCCGTGATGGGCTTTGACAGCAATCAGCTGCCAGCAAACGCTCCTATAGAAGACCGCCGCAGTGCTGCAACATGTCTGCAGACGAGAGGAATGCTGCTGGGTGTGTTTGATGGCCACGCTGGATGTGCTTGCGCGCAGGTAGAATGCAACTACTGATTAAGACATTCCAACACAGTCTCGACAGTGGATGCATAAAGTACTCACAGCAATTCACTTTATTCACATTTTGTGTTGTAGCTTACTCCAAAAAATGAATACAGCGAACTTCCTTTTATTCCACGGGATAGGTTCCAGTCTAATGTTGTTATAGCTAATGAAAACTAATGAAATAACCAAAACTGAAATAGAATAATCGTAAAATTAAATATAAATGCAAGTGCTTTAAAAAAAAAAAAAAACATCATCAAACTAACTTTATCTCGAGCGAAAATGTCCTTTGTTTTCTTTAGTTTCATCCTTGTCATTTCAGCTCATACATGCGCTTTTGTGTTTATTTTAAATGTGTTTTTTGTCTGTGTCACAGTTAGGCTGTACAGAAGAAAACATCAAGCAGTCATTATGGAATTGTAATTGACTTAATGACTTGTCCTTTTTATCTTGCACTTGACAAATACTCCATATATTAAAAGGCTAAAACTAATACTGACACTAATAAAACCTCAACTAAAACGGAGCATAAAATGTAAAAAAAATAAAACTTTATATAAATCTCTTAAAACAAATTAAAATTACGGTACATGAATTAAAAAAAAAAAAAGCCAAAACAAAATCAAAACTAACCATAACAAAAAATCCCAAACTACTCTAACCCTGTTCCAGACCGACTCTTAATAGTTGAGAAACAGCAATACAGAGAGCAAGCACATTGTAAACGTATCAAAGGCGTAGAAAAAAAAAAACTGTACGTATTGTGTGTTCGCTATGTGCCTTTAAGGCCCTGATGGGGTGGCGCGTGATTGTGGCAAGTTTGCTTGTGTGTATCTGGCCGTCAGCTGTGCACTGTCAACTCTTGCTCTAACTTCCCACCCGTTAAGGTTACAGTGGGTACACAGTAAAAACTCCTCAGAAACGATTGCCTCCTAAATCCTCAAACTAGCAAGGTAGCAAAAAAAATAATAATAATTTACAACATTTATTGTCATTCTCCCTAAATTCTCTCGCACAATACAGCACAATGGCTTATTTGTCGGAAAAACTGAATTAAATCCATTTTGGAATAAGGCTGTAACTATGTGGAAGAATAGGAACACTGTAAATAGTTTCCAGATGCACTGTAAAAAGTGGAGCACTGTTAATGGTTTCCAGATACACTTGAACTCCAGTCGCCAGCGCTTGTGTAGTATTAATGCCAGGTTGCAACTTTGACAAGATGGTCCTCCTCACCAGGCGCTCAGCGAGAGGCTCTTTTACTACATCGCCGTGTCCATGCTGCCGCACGACACGCTTTGCGAACTGGAGGCCGCGGTGGAGGCGGGCCGGGCACTCAGTCCCATCCTGCAGTGGCAAAAGCACCCCAACGACTACTTCAGCAGGGAGGCTCAGACGCTCTACTTCAACAGCCTTCGCACCTACTGGCAGGAGCTCATCGATCTCACCAAGTAAGATGTGCGGAAAGAAAAAAAAATGCAATAGATCACACTTGCCAGACAAAAGATTTGGGACACAAATTATGAGCTACGTAAAATATTACAGTGGATTCTTGCTATTCTCGGGGGCAAGGGATACAATTTTTACTTGATTGTTTGGAACATTGATTCTCAAAATGTGGTACAAGTACTACTAGTGGTACTTGAGCTCACTAGTGGTACATGAAAGAATCACTGCCCGAGTAAAGTTCAGTTATATTTAACTTTTGAGTACAATTCTCCTCGATTTGGGTGCGGTGTTAAAGTTCAAACTGTGACTTGCAATAATATTATTTTATGAACATGTAGACTCACTGCGCTCCTGTATTTGAATCGAAAAAGTCGTTGCGATGGTGGCACTTGGCGCGCGCAGTATTTTTTTTTTTTTTTTCCCAGTGGTACTTGGTGTAAAAGGTTTGAGAATGACTGACAAAGTATTTCATGAGATAAATAAATTCAAAGTATCCATTTGAACAAATTATAGATATATATATTTTTAAATGGGTAAATCAATGGCAAAAAGATTTGAAGACTTGGCGGGTCCTTGATTTCCGACTCTCCCAACAGAAAACATTTTGAAGTTTACGAACGCAAGCAATGACCTAAGAAACTATATTGGTGGTCACGCAGCATATAAAGCAACACAACAACCAAGACCCTGTGGTCATCTCCCCTGAAAAACTCACCCAGTTGATCTTTGCGATGTGATTTGTGATGGAGCTTTTCCGTTCGCTCTGTTTTCAGCCCAGGTGACGTCCCCGACACCAGGGAGGCTCTCATGAACGCCTTCAAGAGACTGGACAATGACATTTCTTTGGAGGCTCAGGTGCAGCACACGTGGTCCTATACTGTGTATACTTTTTTTTTCCCCCCCCCCATACAACATCCCATTTTAAATGTCATATCATGGTACATTAACCCGATCTTGCCCCTTGAAACCTGATAACATGATAAGCTGTCCACTGTAGTAACCGCTGTCCCTGAAAAGGTTAAATGCCTGTTCGGTCTTCCAGGTCGGAGACCCAAATGCTTTCCTGCACTACTGGGTTCTGAGAGTGGCCTTCTCTGGAGCGACGGCATGCGTGGCTCACGTCGATGGAGCTGACCTGTACGAATAACAAGTCTCGACAAAACACATGTCAAAACATTTGGTCTGTTGGGCGGTGACACACCTTTTATTTTCTCTCCGACGTAATCGACATACTACGTATGAAAATATAAACACCGCAGGACATAAAAGTAGACACAGGAGCCAAAAAAATGTTAGCGCTACAACGGGCAGACACGGCGACTTCTGTGACCTTATTGGTATTCGCTCTTGATCAACACTTGATACTGTCGATGATAAGGTGTCTTGAGTTGGCACTTTCTGGAGACTTGAAGGTTAAGAGTACTTCATTCTTGTGCATGTGACCTGATCCTATCTGCGTTTGTTGGCAGTGCATCAAGGGTGTGCAAACTTTTTCCTTCGAGGGCCGCTTACAGAAAAAAAAAAAAGTTATTAAACACAGGAGCTGAAAATGTCAGTCTCTTAGCATATCTAGAAAAATCAAGTTCGCCTCCCCCGCCCGCCTACACACACACACACACACACACGCACACACACACTTTTTAGCATTGAGGACCAAATCAAGTTATTTGTGGGTGGTATGCTGCGGGCTGCTAAAAACTGCATGGCGGGACGCAAATGACCCTGGGCCGTAGTTTGGACACCGGCATTACAATATATTTTTGACATCATGAAGGTATGTGTTTGAGCAGCCCCCCCCAAAAAAAATAATGCGGGGGATTTGATAATGTGAACAGTTAAATCATCAATCTATCTATCTGGTGCATCTAATCAATCTATCGCTCTAATCCATCTATATTTCTATATAAATCTAAAGGGACGTTGGCAATGAAGAATAACAACGCTCTCTTGTCCTAAAGGTATATAGCCAATGCAGGAGATGCTCGGGCGGTGCTCGGGGTGCAGGAGGAGGACGGTTCCTTTACCGCTCACACACTCTCTAATGACCACTGTGCCCAGAACGAGGATGAGGTGGCTCGGATTCGTGAAGAACACCCGCCTTCGGAGAGGAAGACTGTTATACGACAGGTACAAGTTCCTCCTTGTACGCGTTGATTGTGTTGAATGCCCGCCTCGCTCATTGTGTTCTCCCCCCGCCCCCCCCCTTCCTCAGGACCGTTTGTTGGGCCTGCTCATGCCCTTCCGAGCGTTCGGCGACGTAAAGTTCAAGTGGAGCATCGAGCTGCAGAAGCGAGTGCTGGAATCTGGGCCCGATCAGCTGCACGAAAACGAGCACACCAAGTTCATCCCGCCCAACTACCATACGCCTCCTTACCTGACGGCCGAGCCCGAGATCACCTACCACCGGCTCAGACCGCAGGATCGCTTCTTGGTGAGAGACAAGTGCCGAGAGTCTTCTGAAACAAAGATTTCCTCCAAGATCAAAGCATCCTAAATATGTGCAGCCAACTTGTTGTGGGGAAAAAAGAAAAGCAAAAAATAAAATAAAATAAAAAACCGTCTGCTTGTCAATACCACCCCAGTCCTGTTGGTGGCGGTATTGCACTTTAGAAGATGGGCACCTGCCTTGTCATAGTGATGGGTAGGCAACCTGCTGGGTTCCTGTCCCACCTGGCCCCAATGCAAACGAACTTACTGGTGAAAAGGGAAAAAAATCGAGGTTTTCATACCCAGACAGTAATAATCGAGAATACATTTGAAGTAAATTCCGCATAGTGAATCTCAGTCTGCCTCCACAGGTGATCGGTTCAGATGGCCTCTGGGAGACTCTGCACAGACAGGAAGTGGTCCGCATCGTCGGCGAGTATTTGACCGGCGTGCACCAGCAGCAGCCGCTCACCGTGGGGGGCTACAAGGTCACCCTGGGACAGATGCAGGGGCTGCTGGAGGAACGCAAGGCTCGCGTGTCGTCGGACTTCGAGGACCAAAACGCAGCCACCCACCTGATGCGGCACGCCGTGGGCAACAACGAGTTCGGCACGGTGGACCACGAGAGGCTCTCCAAGATGCTGTCGCTGCCCGAGGAGCTGGCCCGCATGTACCGCGACGACATCACCATCATCATCTCCCAGTTCAACCCTCATGTGATCGGAGCGCGGCGGCACGAAGAGTAAACACACATTTACACTCTTGTTCATATATTTTAATACCTGACTTTATTATTTATGGGAATTTAAAAAAAGACATTTGTACACAGGAATGATCCACTTTTGTAGTTGCAGAGCCGACTGTATTATTGTGTATCATTTTGCGATACTGACTATACACACACACACACACACACTATATTCTGTGTGCATTGGCACCGTGGCAATATTATTTTGTGCCAGAAGTGAGTTGAAAGTATCTTTTCCAGGTCGGAAAATAAATTCCTAAGAGCAGAATTGACAGTACGAAAAAAAAAAGATGTAAAAGTGTAGGGATGAACTAACATCAACATTTCTTGTTCAAACCGATAATGAGGAAGCCGTGGCTGAAAAAAAGGATTCACTGAAAGAAATTAGAATACTTTAAACTCCTACAAAGGATTTCTGTAATGTGTTTTTGTGTAAAATTTCAAGATTTGTGGGATTAGGAAAAAAATCACCTAAAAGTTTACGAAGAGGGTTTGTCAACTAGAGATTTGGGTAACGTTGACCAAGTGACCATTTTCGGCTGAATTTTCGGTGCCCAAAAGAGTAAACTCATGTTGCACAAAAATGCTATGATTCAGAAGAAATCTCTCTTTTGGCCTTGTTTTGGTGGCAAATCCAACTCATATGACAACGCTCCACTTCGTTTTCTTGTTTCGTCTCGTACCACAAGCACGCTAGCAACGCGCTAGACAGTTACTAAGGCTTTAATTTGTACTTTTCTTTGCAACCCAACTCCAGTTCTACATTTTGCTTCATATTTAAATGGCAGTCAACTGCTTGAATATTTATTCCATGTTACATTACGAGTGGTCGTTTTATCTTTGGCGTATGTATAAATTATCTAATCGGGTTCCATTTTGTATATGGCTTAATAAATAGTTAAAAAAAACAGCTTCCTGTGTTTTTCCGTCTTGTTTAAGCACTCCCACCCACCCACAGATCCTAAACTGTGCCACATGGAGCGACAGGAAATGATGTAAGATCGAACTTGCCGTTGACTGTACACAGTAATAAACTACGGTGTATTTCAATTTATTGTGCCGACCAATTGAAAACAGTGACGCATCAAAAGCGATGTCATGTAATTTTCTTCTTGTAAAATTGTTATTTGCGGCTTTATAGGCAAAAAAGTCGGCCACGCCTGCTTTCCTGGCGTAACAGTGACACCAAGTGGATGGACATAGTATGCTCACAGTGACTTAAAAAAAATACACCAAACCTCATTCATTTACAACAATAATCTTTCCATAAGGAGCAGTAAAAATTGCTTTCTATATCGTTACTATAAATGACAGTGAATTTACTCACATTTAACTTTTGTCACTATCATGACAAGGCCACATTCTGTGTACAGCAGGGGTGCCCAAACTTTTTGGACCGAAGATCTACTTTTCGGTCAACCAAGCGAAGCACTTTTGCAGCCTGTTGACTATCGTAGCTAACACGTACCGTTTTAAAGTGCTTCCCTCAGCCCGTGCCCTCGGTGAATTGTACACGAAGCAAACTGAATGAGAATAATGACGATCAAAGATATTGCGCAACAGCTCTAATCACAAACTGCAATTGCAGACTGCTGAGCGCTAACAACTTCCGCTGACGTAGTCACGCGCCACCGTAGGTTAAAGATGTATATGCTTTATTTATTTGAAGCAGAAATAAAGCAGTACCTGAGTTCTATTCTGGATTCCAAAAACAAGAAAGCTGTTAAGACTGCCTATATGCTCCTCATTTGAAATGTTTGTCTAAAAATCCCCTGGCTTCTTTTTTGTTTAAACGTTTGTAAAATATGTTTGTATTAATAACATATTCGTTTTGTTTTCTGTTTACTGAGAATTGTATTCTGACTTGTTCAATAAAGATTATTTAAAAAAATGCATATGCTTTATTTTATTTTATTTTTAAAATATTTCTTTGGGAAAATGAGACTGATAGGATGATTAGGGTGCAGTGTGCATTAACACAAAAAATATATTACTAACATTCTACAAAGACACACAAATGTTTTTTTTTCTCTCCTCTACGCCTTTCGGATCTAATTGGGGCGAGTCCTAGATCTACCGGTAGATCAGGATCGACGTAATGGGCACCCCGGTGTACAGCCTATGTAACGGACAAAGTGTGACTGTCTATTTGTAAGAGAAAAGATCATCTATTCGAAAAAGCGAGTCATTCTCCTGAAAAACAATTTTCAATGGTAAAGTTTCTATTCTAAAGAGTTCTTACTGCAGACTGGCTGTAATTCTTTTGTGAGTGCGCCCATTATGAAGGAAATGAATATGTGACCTCATTTCATCCAGGTGAGTTCTCATTTTGCTGTCTGGATGTGGCTGTCACTATAGCAACTGTTTGGTTGATAATTAAAATGAAGTCAGTCGGTCATACTTCCTGGTAGCGTGCTTATAAAAAGAGGTCATGCAAGTGGGGAGGACATCAATTCATTGTTTAAATTGTATAACACTCCCCCACTCATGTAAAGCAGCCTAAATTCACATCACATAGAAACAAATCTGTTCCATTTCTATCCATCTACATCAAATGCAAAAAAACCCCAAAAAAACCCTAAGAATATTATGAGCAATTTGTGATCATTTTATTTTTTGTTGAAACTCTGTTACCTTTTTATTGGAACACATCACCGCCTTGACTTACAAGTTTAATTCCTTCCAAAAATCATCTCTCAAATCATCTTTCCAAATTTAGATGAATGAAAATGCCATTAATCCATTTCAACGCCACAAAAAAAAAAAAAACACCAGCAAGTTTTGTGACGTGTTATAATAAGAAAAATCGCACTCAACCATGTTGTAAAATGTAAACGGTTTGTCCATGATGATTCAACAGACATTGTGCTGTTTATACACACACCTTGGCCAGGGTAATGCAGGCAGACATACTACACATAAATTTGGGAAACAGGAGACCGTTGCAACCAAGCTGCAGTTATAGTTGTTGTTCTTGCAGAGGATAAAGAATACATGCCTGTGACTATTGCTATATACTCTGCATCTGTTGCTGCCATTTGTGTTCAGATATATTCACCGCAACAGTGATGCTAAAAACCTTTGGGTGGGGTGGGGTGAGGTGGGGAAATCTGCTAAGATATGAATCTGCGGATGCTGAATTGTGAATAGCAGGGATCAACTGTAGTTTTAAGTTGTAATATCAACAATAACCACAAGACGGCAGACACGTCTTAGTTGTGCTGACACTGGGTTTTTATATTATAACAATGTTAGTTGGCCTAATAACATTTTTTGCTGATATCTCAACAGTAGAAGCATTTTTGAGTGAGTTGGTTTTTTGGGTGGTAAAATGTACAAAATGAATTTTGCACGTAATGTTGGTTTCTTGTTCAACAGTTTTATGCCATCTTTGAATGGTATTTTTTATGCAAGAGAGCCGTTTGCACTAAAAAAAAATACAGTTAGTATAGTGGATCTTTTATATATGTACTGTGTTGAAAAATATATTATCAGAAATTCAATATATTAAGAGCAAGTGTCTTCTACATATGCACATATTTTTGTCTATATTTCAAATAACATTGTTGTCATACATCTGGATTAGGGTTAGTGTTAAAGTTTGATTTAAATTTGGAAGCATTTTTATAGAACAACTAAAGGACACAGTCAAATTTTTTTGTTTTCCGATTATCGGCCAAATTAATTTTGCTAACAAATTCAATCCAATGTTCGGGTGAGCGTTTTGGAAAGTGATGCTGGGATACGAGTAACGAGAAAATACACACATACTGAAAATGCATTTCACCATTTGCTGCGCACACACACTCACTGCACGTGGCCCGCTCTGCGCGCACGACGGCACATGTGGCGTCGGCGTCCGACCGGCCGCATGTGATGTTGTTTTTGTCCCCGTCTCCACTTTACCAGCATTGTCTTCCCTTTGCAAGGCACAATGAGCCACCAATCACACAACTCTTGCTTCCCCGCTGTCTAATAAGACGTGAGTCAGAGCGGCAGCGCTCTGGCCGTGACTGCTCAGCGGCAGACGGCCGGTGAAGTGGAGGAGGAGGAGGAGGACAAGACTGACTGGAGGGTGCTAGCGCTCCATACGGAGTGAAATGTCTCAATGTGAACAGAAGGCTTTTCAGTGAATGGGGAGATGTTCATGTGTTCATGTCACCTGCAGGCCCACGCGCTTCTTCATACACACGCAGCACACACAACAATTGGAGCTGGTGTGGGAAATAATGAAATAGAAATGACTTCGTACTCAGAGAAACACCATCCATCATGTAATAGTGGCTCCCATTTGTTTCGTTTATTGAGGGGGGGAAAAAAAGAGCAGTAATTGCCCAACAAAACATATCACATTATAGTCAACATTTTTCATGTTACAGTGGTGGGGCCACATCAATAAATTAGGGCGGGGCCACCTGACATGAGTAATCCTGCTTGGCAACTTTTAATCATGTCTTTATTTTGTTTATGATGTCTCATATGTATATAGTAAATACAACATGGCCAAGAAAATAAAAAGACTTTGTGGTGACTACTGGCAGCTAAGCAACCCTCTTAAATGTACACGCTTTCCTCGAAACGTCAAGAAAGTCCTCACATGACACAAAAAATAGTACAAATGCAGAGTTGTGTCTACATCAAGGCGTTCTTCTCCGCCTCCTCGCTGTTCTTACTGCGTTTACTTGAACGTTTGACCGCGACGACGAGGACCAAAACTGCAAACACCAAAGGGTGGTTGATTTTTTTGTTTGTTTTGTTTTTGCTTTGAGAATGAGGGGAAGGAGCAACAGAGAAAAGTCAGGGAGAAACTCACCACAGAATCCCAGAGTTCCCGCCAGGATGCCGATGGTGGGTCCCATTCCGTATTTGAAGCCGTGCTCACCTGGTGCCACGTAGCAGTAGCCCAGCTCCGTGCACGTGCACACTTGTACTGGTTGTTGGAGAAATAGATTAGCGTATGACTGTCTTTTTTTTTTTTTTTAAATACACCACCCTGCACTGTATAATAACATGACTACACAAAACATATTAGAATGTTTTCTGGCTGTCGAGTCCAAAAATGACAATTGGTTTATTTGAATTGGCTTTAGTTTTTTGAGATTTCACTATTTTTGATTGACAATGAATGTGCTTTGACAGTTTACCAAATGCACTTTCATCGTTATGAAAAGTAGCATTTTCCCCTGTTTTTAGATTTGTTTGCTGCTACATTGCTTCATTTTCTGAATTTTTGCTTGATTTTCACCCGGAACATGATTTACATATGGAAGGCTCACAATGGCCGATGTTCACGACATTACATTAAAAACGAAAGAATATTGTACTTGACAAGACGGATACAGCCTCAACAAATTTGAAGAATAAAGTGAACATAAATGTCATAATTTGTGCAGTCTTACAACTTTTCTTCAAGAAGACTATGTAATATCTCATCAACGAAAACAATAACAGTAAAATGCCTTCCATTGCAGATTTCACAGATTTTTTTTTGGGAGGGTTTTTTTTTTTTTAAATAACTATTTTGACCTGCTTCCTGTTTATTTTTGGATGTAATTCTACTGTCAACCAGTAGATGGTAGCACACAATTGCAAATTCAAAAGAAGAACAAAAACACCTAAGTACAGTTTTTCAACTTAGCCTCGTTTTTGCTGAAAATGACTGAAAGTCCCATCTGTGTAATCCTGCTTTTTACGCCTCCAGAATGGCTGTAGGTTCATTTTATAGTGTATATGTGTGGGGATGATTATCGGTGTATAATGTGTGATGATAAGTTTGTTAGTTTGGAAACAACACGGTTTGTTTACTGTAAATGGGTAGAGGGACCAGTGCACTGTAACATTGTACAATATTGTTGCCTCATCCTCTCACTAATTAAATGCCTTTGAATGTGTTTGTATAGTTTCAAAAAGACCTTTAAAAAAATAAAGTGGTGAAAATGCGATTAAAAAAAATGCCGCAGGAGTATTTAATTAGGGTACTTCTATATCATGGATTTTGGAACGGAATCCCGGTGGTGGAGGGGGATGATGAAGTACTTTAGTCATAAATTCTGTAAAAGCGTAAGTGTAGAATTCTGTTGTACTTAAGTGTTTTTCTTTTTTTGTTTGTTTTTTTCATAAAACAGAAGAAAGTCTCGGACTGCTTCACTGACCCTCAAAGGACTGCGTGACTCCCATCCCTGCATTATCTTTCACGTTGATGGGCAGACTAAACGTTCTGTCTTCCGTTGGCATTTTCTTCAGGGTCAACTTGGCTGTGGTGCCTGGGCAGTACACAACGGAGGAGCGTGATGGAAGTGCATACAAGGTGTCTTATAGCACATCGGAAAGTCATTGCATCATTTCGGTACCGTCAATGGTTTGCAGGTCCCAGTTGTGGGATTTTCTGCTGTGGACCAGGGCAAAGGTGAAGGGCTGCGAAAAGGGAGCGCCGTCTCCGTCATGAGCCTTGATGAACACCGGCTCGGGTTTCTTCAGGCACATGAATGCCTGCGTCTCCGTCAGTTTGGGGGTGTTGTCATTCACATCCAGCAGCCTCACCGACACCATGCGCTCGTCGAACTTTTCAGGGTTATCTGTTGAGTGGAGATGACATTTGGAGTTATGGTCATTCTCCGCAACCCTAATGAGGACAAGCGCTATGATATTACAAATGACTTCTGTGACAGTAAAATACGTTAGTTACTGTAATGGATGTAAATAACTCTTTTCCCAACACAGTGCAAAAAAAAGATCCAGTAGAATATTATGTAAGTGTCACAACAAGTGTTTTTCAAAATGTCTCAGACCCTTCTCGAAGGCAGTGACAGTGACTTCAAAGGTCTCCAGGGTCTCTCTGTCCAGCTTGTCTTTGGTCGTAATTTGTCCGGTGGCTGGGTTCAACTCCAGCCAGCCTTTAGTGTCACCTTCCATCTTGAAACTGCCCAACAACAACAACAACAACAATAACCCAGACAAAGTCAGAGGAAACAAATCAATAGTTTACTCATGTACGCACACGTGATGGAACCAAAGTCCAAAACAAGCCTGCAAATTTAAAGTGCGAGGAATTATTGATGACTTTGTGATTGATTTGCACGTGCTGCTTTTGAGGTCAGTTTACTCCATCACGTTGTCATAGCTTGTAAACTTGCACAGAAACATTGGACATATAAACACACACTTCAGCCTCGTGCATGCAAAACAATGAAACTTTCATATCAGTCTAACAAACAGTTTACCACGGATTAACTCACTCATGAATTTACTTATTGGCAAACTCACTAACTTACGAACTCACTCATTAACTACCGGTACATGACTTACAAACTTCCTAACTCATTCACCCACTCAGAAAGTGAACCAACTCATGCACTCAGTATTTGACTCACTCATTAACTACATAACTCACGAACAAACCAAAAAAACGGACTCACTTCATCATTAACTTACTCATCAAATAACTAATTAAAAAACTTGAACACTAAATAAACCCACTAACTTACTAACTCACACAAGTCTCATTTTTTTTCTATAAGTACGCACTCACTCACTCACTCACTCACTCACTCACTCTATGACTAAGTGCCTAAATAGATAAATCACTCACTCACTCTATGACCAAGTGCCTAAATGGATAACTCACTCACTCACTCACTCACTCACTCACTCACTCACTCACTCACTCACTCACTCACTCACTCCCTCACAAGTCTCTTGCTGTTTGGTACTAATGTCAGGGGGTGCAAAGTTTCCGCAGATGGTCCTTTACCGTATCTCTTTGCCTTCGGGGTCCTTGGCCTCCACCGTGAGCAGCACAGCTCCCTTTGTGATGTTTTCGGGCACAACTACTTCCAGGATATCCAGGGTAAATTCCGGGACCTCGTCGACGTCGGTTACCGACACGGACGCGAAGGCGGTGGATTCGGCACCGTACTCCAGGCCGCTCATCAAAGGCTCCGGGTTCCGAGCATCGATCTTCAACTTGTAGGAGGACGAGGTCTCAAAATCCAGAGGCTGGAGGCACACAAGGAGTGCATATTTGACAATGAAATGTTTGGATGCCTAACATTACCCTTAGGAGACATATAAAACTACATGTTTCCATTGTTACCATAGTGACTCAAACAGCAATACACTAAACAATGCACTGTCAGAGCCTTTATCCAGATTCTCCTTTATTTTAGGTGGTCCGTAGCCCATTGAAAAAAAACATTTGCATTTTAAAAAACATCATTCTCAGTCCCCATAGTGCATTTGAAACACAATTTAACACTCGATTGCTATTACATAAGCATAACTGTGAACAGATTGCATTTCAATAAAAAGGTTACCATGACAACTGAGCTAAATTACCTTGTGCTGCAATTCTATCTCTTAAAGCGCAAGTTGATGTCCTTTCACAGAGTAACTGTGAGGATTCTACATGCACGGGTGCAAGGTTGTTACAGTTAATGAAAGAATTGGGAAAAAAATGTTTGGTAACGAAATAAAATAAACAAAATTATTTTAAAATAACTGAATACCATCTGCTTCCATTCATTTAACAATCCGCTTATGCTCATGAGGGTCGCGGGCGTTCTGGAGTCTATCCCAGTTGCCTTCGGGCAGTAGCCCGGGTGGCACCCTGAACTGGTTGCCAGCCAATCGCAGGGCACACAGAGAGGAACAACCATCCGAGCTCACAATCACACCGAGAGACAATTTAGAGTGTTGCATTCCCAATGGTGCATGTTTTTAGAATGTGGGAGGAAACCGGAGTACCCGGAGAAAACCCACGTAGGCACGGGGAGAAAATGCAAACTCCAGCCAGGAAGGCCAGAGCCGGAATCAAACCCTGCACCTTTGCAGTGTGAGCCCGACGCACTAACCAGTTGACCACCGGGCCGCCTGAAGCTAAAAGCAAAACAAACTATAATTATAGCAAAAAAGTCCATTTTCATTTTGCCAGTTAATATGATTCATGAGCTTCCAGGGTTCATTTTAAATGTATTTACTTCGGTAGTGCTGTAAAGTCAATCTGTCTTTTGACAATAAAATTGTAGTTTAATTTACTACACCATACTTTCTAACCTTTTCTTTTGTTTCATCTTGCACTTGACAAATATTCCATATATTTAGAAAAAAAAATAACACTAAAACTAATAAGAGCTAAACTTAAGCAAAGCATTTAAAAAAAAAAAAGTGAAAAGTAACAGAAACAGGGAAAAAAAAAGTAAAAACTGAAAACCCCGAAAATATTACAACCCCTGATAAGGTGACGTTTGTACCTTTGCGATGACCACGTGGCCGACGCCTTTTCCGTCCGTTTCCACGGCAAACACGCCGTCGTCGTTGCCGGCTGTGATGTGGAACTCGATGAAGGAGCTGCCGCTGTCTGCGTCGTCGTCATCCGACGCGCTGATGTTGAGCACCGTTTGTCCCACGGCGGCGTCTTCGACCACCGTGTAGCTGCCGTACTGAATGACAACGCGCACACACACATCATCAGGAGCTGTACTTTCATGTACAGACTTTTCCGCTGTCTTGACTACACGCAAGGAAGTTATCTTAATGCAAAAAAGCTTAACGTGACTTAATGTAAAAAAAAAAAAAAAAAAAAAACTACCACCGGTCATTATTAAAATTCACACACACACATCTCTACCTTTAACCTCTAAAAATATCAAAACAATTGCAACGGTGTTTGGGATTTTTTGGGGGGCATTAACTTTTTCCTTTCCATCAACGTTCACTATGGAGAAAAAGCTTAATGTCTCTTAATATTAGAAAACTACAACCCAGTCCCACCAACATTCATGTGCCAGGTTTTATTAACCCTTTCATGCACCCATAATGATAACCTGTAACCTGATAACATCATATGACGTCCACTGTAGTAACCACTGTCCCTGAAAGCGTTAAAATTGGCTCAGGTGCTGGGGAAGTTCAAGTATAAAGTGTGTGGGGGTCCACTGCACTCTTGTTTATTAGATCAAAAGTGGAGTGCTGGCATTCTGCTCTTCATCAATTATCTAATGGTACGCTACCTAATGAATGACTCGTGCTATATTTTTGACAGGAAAAATTCCTACATTTTAGAGTCTGTGCTTTTTTTTCCCCTTTATTTTGCCTTTTACTTGACTAAATGAGTTGAATCAGTACTTCCACTTGCACCAGATTTTTTGATACTCCTACACAAGTACCGTGTGAGTCCTTTTGCCACCTCTGATTCGGACGCACGCTGATCTAATGCGATGCAACGATTGTGTGCTTACATCATTCTTCTCAAAGCGAGGCAACTCGTTGTTCACATCAATGACCTTGACCACGACCTTACAGAGAACACTGTGAGCTGAAGGACAGAAGTGATGAGTAAGTACCTGCACATCAATGTCTGTGTGTGTGTGTGTGTGTGTGTGTGTGTGTGTGTGTGTGTGTGTGTGTGTGTGTGTGTGTGTGTGTGTGTGTGTGTGTGTGTGTGCGAGGTACCTGGATCACTGACTCTAACATCCAGGTTGTACACCTGATGGTCCCTGCGCTGCAGCGCGCGCAGCGTTTGGATTCGACCGGAGGCGGCGTCAATGGCGAAGGCTTCGGGTGAGGTGGAGGGCTGCTGCGACATGATGGTATAGGTCAGCAGAGCGTTCAACGTCTCCGCTTGGTCGGCGTCGTGGGCTATCAGGTCCCCGATCGGACTGCCTGAAAGCACACCAGAGATTTATTGATCACAACACACTCCTTAAGGAGGGGGGGCATATGTATTTATACTACATTTTGACAATCGACTACAATTTTAAATCGGCGCTACCCACATAGAACCATGCACGCACTTTCTAGCAAGCCGTATGACAAAAATGCCATTTTAAATACGCGCTTACGTGCAAAATACGTGCTCTTAATGTATTTTGTTTTTTAGAAGACATTTACAAAGTGCTCTCAGGCATAAATGTTACCATTCAAGGATGGCACAAAATGTATATGTATATATAAATTCACGGGTGCAGAGCCAAATGTATGCACTAGTCCACTGCAGTGCAGGAAACATGTTTATAATCCCCCACAATAAATAGATAATACAAGGGCACAAAAAGAAAACGACTGCGGAGGTCTCACCTACAGGCTCGTCCTCCTGCACCTCAAACACAGTCTCCTCTTCCTCGCACACGGGCGCATTGTCGTTCACATCCTCCACCACAACGTGGATCTCCATCGGGGGATCCACCTGGTTCTCATAGACATCCTCGGCCATCACTACCAGGATGTACTGAAACAGGAGCAGTTCCAGTTAGTTACGCTATTGAAAATGGATTAGTTGTGTCAGTGTTTCGCTTACTGTCTGAAGTAATGTTTGATTCCATTTTGATTACGTTTTTCAATTAATTTTGAGTAAATGCTCTAAGCTGTTAACCATTTTTGCAACCATTTTAAGACCTGGGAGTTTTACAATATTCTTTATTTACCTTACTATTTCTGCAAATGTACACACTCACGTCAGAGCAAATTGCACGAAATCAATGTTTTCAATGTCAACTGCATTTTCGCTGCCGGCAAACACTCATTGCAATGCACTAATATGTTTGAGCCATTATCTTTTTTCTGTTTGCTGTACCATCAACTGACGAGTGTGGCATATTGCCACATGACAAGGGACAGCCAATCACCATTTATGATTCACAAGTGTCGGCTTGAGAAGGGGCAAAGAAGGAAGACAAAAACTCCCGGTATTTAATAAGCCAAATTTTGGCCATTAAAAAAAAAATAATTCTAACAGCAACTATAATTATTTTACTTTCCCTGTAATGTAACTCAGTAGAGTTACATAAACTTTGCAATGAGATGACGTAATTTCATTCCATGTAATTTGTTACTTCCCAACTCTGCTTCGTATGTCAAAGAGGAACTCGATAATGTGCAAAAGCTTTCGCGGCGTTCACCATGTCCTTCTCCTCCCTGTCTAGCTCCTCTGTGAGCAGAATTTCTCCATCCTCTGTGATCTGGAAAGGGAATCTCAGCTCTCGTTCTTTCTGCACAAGCCTGTAAATGGCGCCTGGCTCATTGGACTGGACCTAAAACCAGACAACAAGATGGGTCATTGTGGAGCGACTGCATCTGAATGAATTTCCTCCTCACCTTGGTAATGACTCGCGGGTAGGATCCCTCCAGGTGCTCCTGAATGGCAATCCTGCCGGGGTTGACCCACAAATTGGGCTGCACCGCAATGTGCACTCTGGAGTTGCCGCTCAGCGCCATCTCGGATGCTCCTCCCATGTCGTGGACTTTCACGATTAAGGTGTAGTCCGGGTCCTCCAGGGGGTCCAGGTTGCTGCGTCTCATCTCTGACACCAAAGAAGATGATGAGGGGTAACTTGATTATCAGTGACTAACTGAAATGAAAGTTGCACACACACCTGCTCTCTCCACACAAGTGAAGAAGGGGTTTTCTTCATTGGGGACGGTTGGCGAGGGACAGTAGTTGTTAAATTTTGCCCTGAGAGACTCAGCGCTGCGGTCTTCTCCTCTGGCGTACTGGATTGTCTCCCTGGCATTGAGCATGCGCTCCCCTGTTACACATGCAGGATAAAGCAGTAAGAATAACCTCTAAAGTCACACAAAAATTTTGAAATTAAAACACCGTGACACAAGCTGCTTAAGTTTTTGAAAAAAATAACATTCAATTTTGTGTGAAGAGGCTCACCTTCAAGCAACACACAGAATTCCACTCTGCACATTTCACAGTACTTCCACGAGTCATCGTCAGAGTAAAACTTGAGTACAGTGTTACATTTTTTGATCGTTTGTTGTTTTTTTTTACATTTTAAGATTGACAGTATTTAACTCCTTCTTAAAATCATATGAAGGAAGATAAATCATGTATGAGCAAGTCTCCCTTAAAACTGAGGTTAACACTGTTTGTAATTATTACATCTACGATGATATATTTCATTGTAATAGTCTATTATTAAAATAAACAATTTTACATTTTTCTCTTCATCTACAAAATACCTATCTGACTATTTTAAACCATTAAATGTAACCATTGAGCTAAAAAGAATTGCCCCCTGTGCTCTAATAAAAGAAAAAAAGTATTTGCATTATTTCCTGTGGGGTGAAGTGATTCTAAATCACAAAAAAACTGTGTTGGACTTTAGAGGCTCTACAAAATAAATTTTGGGCGCACCACGCAAACAATTACAATTGTGCACGACCAAGTGGTACGTGAGGGAATCACTATCTGAGCACAGTTCAGTTGTATTTAACTTTAAGGTTCAAACTGTGCATAACGATGCAGTATCTTACAATATCAAATATACATTTTTGATCAGCAGTTATAACGCATTCTAATGCTGGTCAACATGACAATGCTTTGAGCGCTACACCTGAATGTTGTTTTTCCGGTGGGAAAAAAGTTGGGCTGCTCCAATGTATCAAGTGTTTCAATGCAGTTCTGACTCCTTCTTTGCCTTCACGTGCCGCCTGATTCCAAGTAATCAGTCATATGCAATCTCACGCGACACATTACGGCAGTCTGCCACCAATCTGCGTTAATCTTGCCCAGACCAGATGAGCTGCGTAATCTGGTTTCACTCTGACAATGTGCTGCCAGATTACGGGCAGAAATAGAACGATTACTGACATTTCGCACCCGGCACGTGAGGCGGGCGGGACGGGGCGTCACCTTGCTCGGTGGTGGAGATCTCTCCCGAGTTGGGATCCACCTGGAAGAGCAGAGTGTTGTGTCGGTTGGGGATCTGGCTGACTAGGCTGTACGTCAGCTGAGCATTGGGAGTGCTGGGGTCGTCACGATCCAACGCAAACACACGAGTGAACGGCACACCTGGAATGATACATAACAATGCTTCCCTGGTTGGATTGTGGTTACAAAGATCAACGGTGGGGGTCTAGAAGTAGAATGCACACCTGCTGGAGTGTTCTCTCGGACCAAAGCGGTGTAGTAACTCTGGTTAAAATATGGAGCGTGGTTGTTGATGTCCAGCACGTGGATGGTTGCGAAAATGGGCCCCTCCACGACCTCATCGTCCACTAAGGCCTCCACCTGGAAACAACCACAAGCATATTCATATGAAATAAAATCAGGGACGTGACATCCACCACACATATCAGCGAAGGTCAGAATCTGTCTGCCTGCACCTCGATCAAATCCGCCAAAATCGAATTGCACTACCTGCACCACAACTTGGACCTGCTTTTAACTGATCAATTCTAGTTTGTCTTCTATCACCAAATTGTGACAGAAATTGCCCTCGGAATGCCCAGCAAGGCCCAATGCAGTCTGTCGAATTCCCACACACGGTGAACTCAATTTGCCCAAGGGTGAAAATGAAGATGGGGCAGTTTTTACGCCTGTGTTACACTTTTACGGGTGCCCGCTTACGAAAATAGGGTCCTTGGATTTAGATTCTTTTTCTGGGGCAATGACAAAAAGTCAATTATACACAAAAATACAGTGCTAAAAAAAAGCATGAAAAAACAGCACTGTATTTTTGTCATGCTTTTTTTTTTTTTTAAACAATCTCAAGCACTTAAAATCCATGAGACATAATTGCACACGTATGGTGAGGGGTATGTTACCGCAACAAGGTAGTTGTCATTTTGGGACCAGTCCAGAGGTTTGTCCAAGTAGAGCCAACCGTCAGCTGAGATCTTGATGTCATCGCTGCCTTCTCCGTTCAGCCTGAAAGCGTTCACACCAGGATGGCTGACCTGGAACTGAGCAAAAACAACTCACATATTAGATTAACTTAAAAAAAAAAAAAGTCACAATTAGTGTGCGCTTGTGTGTGTGAGTGTGGTACCTGACAGAGTGCGTAGGGTACAGGTGTGCCCTCCTGCACCTTCATCACCAAGTTCTCAAATGGGACCTTCTTGCCATCCAGGCCCAAGCCAGCAGCCTGTCAAAGGTTGAGAAAGCAAAGAGTATTGCATCACACTGAAGGGATTCCTACTATTTGCTGACCGTAGTTAGCCACGTGAGAATAATGAACTGAAGTTGCACAGGTGGGCACTACCTCACAACCAGTAACTTTCAAACTCATGGTAAATGGGAGTCAATCCACCCGTTGACATTTAAAGTGCCCTTGATTAAACTCAAATAAAGTCTAGTTGTTCAGGTAGGCAGATTTTTTTTCTTTGGAGCACAAGTGTTCGGTTTGCACTGAGCATACTTTGTGTAACATGAAATAGAACCAAAATATTTCATATAACAATAAAAATGTAATCTGGATGAAAATTTAAAAAAGGAGTTCATAATATTTTCAATATGTCTAGATTTTAAGAGACACTGTGTAATGTACAAATGGAAGAAACACACTTTTCACTCCAGCTCCCAAACGTCAGTGAACCAAGCAAGATCAGTTATTGATTGAACCGGCATTACATGGAAAAAGTCTGGCCTTTCTTCGACAGCCCTCCCTAAGCAAAGACGGGACGGGACAAAGGACACCTTTCGCTTCAATGATTCAGCCATGAGTCACATTTTACATCACGTATGGCTTCTCAGGAAATGGAGTGTGGTTCCTCTCCAAGAGGGGTTTTTTTTTTTTGTGTGTGTGTTTTGACATTTTCTTATGAATATGCAGTGTACTCACAGAGCCGAGCAAGAGTGCCAGAAGACACAGATGCACCATGGGAGTCATCATCACAGTCTACGGACAAACAACAAGAAGGAGACGAGTTAATACATCGAGTAAAACATGTTTTCTGTGCAAAGTTCAACTGCTTTTTTTTTTTTACCTAAATTGTATTGTAAATTGTAAATCGTAAAAGGGTCTATTTTAAAAACTGAACGTAGGGTGGCATATTCTGTTGTAGTCATAAATTACAATGCAATCGATTTCATATTACGCCAGCCTTTATAGGTCACACTTAAAAAGAGAAAATTAAAGTATCTCCAAAACCTTATGTGCTAGAAAAAAAGTGAAGGCGTTTTTTTAAATCAGTGTCAAAACTGCTCTCAGGGCGGTCCTTCTCAAATAATAGGGGGGATCTCCTTTGGGGGAAGGGTGGGGTCGATCCTTGGGGGGCTCTGTGTGACCCTTTTTTTTTTGGCCGCGTGAGAATGAAGTGTAATTCCTGTCCAGTACAGTAGGTGGCGGTGGCGAGCACATTTTTTTTTTTTTAATTTCAGGCAAATTGATGCACTGTAATTCTTTGCTGTTACAGACTAAAAATGAAAAGCAATAAAGCTATTATTTGGAGTATGTAGATCTATACAGTATATGCTTTCGTTTATGGTTTGCAGCCGTGTACTTTGAATGATTTTATGGACAAATGATACTATTTATAGTTGTAAGGCACGAAAAAATTTTCCTCTCCCTAGTGGGGCGTAACAGAAAAGAATAAAAACATTACTGTAGCATTAATATATCACAATTACTGTGGTATTGTCCATTTAATTATGCTTTCACTAAAATTTGTCATCATGAATATATATTGGTGCAATCTACTTTTTTTCTCTCAAAATATTGAATTGTATTTTTTCTTTACTATCATTATTCTTATTCATCCTTTTGGTTCTTTCCATTCCTACTGCCTTATTAGGGCATCCATTTTGTCTCTAGTTTAAATCACCAAATATGGTTCCTTAGCCAACAAATGTGCATGAAACAGACACTTCATTTGGTACACCAGCGCAATCTGAAAGTGTCAATACAAGAGCGATATCAGAGTCCTTAATCTGAAAGTATCAATGCAAGAGCGATATCAGAGGAGGTGTACCTAATGAAGTGTCTGGGCAGCATAAAACGTATTACTTATGACAGTGTTCTGCCTAAAACCCCACAACGTCCACACTTTTCTTAAAAAGACAGCTTATCTATTGCGTAATAAAACCATTCGTCATAATACTACAGACACAGGAACATGACTCAAGTAGTGCAATGAAAGGGGAAGTGACCCCGGTGGACAAGGGTGAAGGTGACATTGAGTGGTGGCTAATGACCTTTTTTAAAGTCACCAACCTGAGACACTCTCTATTGAAGGAATGCCTAACTATTTTGGTTATTTTAAAATTGGCTTCTGCTTTCCGGAGGACGAGAACATACAAGTATTTTCACTTTCTTTGACTTAAAGCAAATGGTGCAAAGGGTGCGGCCCAAACCATGTACCCCGCAAATGTTCATAATGTACAGTAATAAACATTCGATGGATTGTTGCATGATATTAATGTCATCGATTTTGTATGTTCCTTGGCCGGCTTTATGAAAAAAATGAAAAAGGCTGCCGCAAGTATAAACCGAAGATGTGATTAATCTACAACAACTGTAAAATAGAATGCAGTTCTTGTCTTCCACATAATAGAATCAATAACCTTCGTTCTTATATTCAACATTTGCAAACAGCCAAGGTCATGCTCAGGAAACCATTGACAGCACATGCCAAGAAGGCCTCCACAAAGAAAATCAAACCACAATCACTTTAAAAAAAAAAACCCTTAAATACATTCAAACTAAATACATTCAAACAAAAGCGTGTATAAAGGAGAGTCGAGGTGACGCACCTTTCTCCGGAGAGATCCTGCCAGTCAGTCCGGGCGTGACTGATGTGAATTCTCATCCTGCCTGGTCAAACGTTAACCACACGTTAACCAGCACTCTTTTATTGGATCTAATCATTGTCTAATCAGCACTGTCACCACTCACCCACCAATGGGCGCCAGGCTCGACAACCAGGAAGGAAGAAACACTGTAAGGACTCTCATTTCACGACATGAAATCTCACGGTGGTGCTTTCAAGTCGGAGTGATCATATTTGTCACGTTTGAATCTGGTTTATGAGGTCATTGTGGTGGAAAAACAAGCATTTAAGTCAGATATTGAGGAGAATCTGTTGCTTATAATGTCATTTATGCATTCCAGCCTTGCACCCCCCCAAAAAAAACCCCTAAAAACATTTTAAAATGTATTTTCGTAAGAAAAATAACATTTTAAAATATTACCGGTATAATGTATAAAGACATACAGTAATGACATAATGAAATAAAATGCAAACAATTTTGGCCACTTTTTTTTTTTTTTTGCCCCAATTCCATGGACATTGTTCTGCTCCCTCTGGTGTGCACGCCTTGGCCACCTGGGGGCAGTCTAAAACAAATTGATAAATATGTCACTCTTAAGTAAACCACAGTCCTTTTAGTCTTTCTTTGCCAAAGATAAATAATACATGCCTGTGAGCATTGTTATATTGTCTGTCTACGTGTGCCCCTTCACCATTTGTGTTCGATCATTTGTTGCTTGACGGCTTAAAACACAGCGACAGTAATGCCTTTCATTCATCCGTCTATTTTATTGTTTGTTAGCGTTAAACTAAATTGAATTATTCAAAGCAAGGTATGTGGTTGTTTAAAATACAAACTGTGTAGCTCTCTTGGTTTTATGTTTTCTTTGACAGTGCCGGCCGGGAGTGGCTATTTACAGCTTGAAGCCTCTTTTTGTCAACAGTTGTTCACTATCTGCCAAACTGCTGCTTGTTGTGACACGAGCTGAGCTGAGTTCACTACAACCATACAGTGCTTGTATCTCAAATGCCCGTTTGCAAGTCAGAGCGCAAAATCGCCTTAAAAACGGCTCGTGTCTCCCAAAAGTCCAAAGTCAGAAGTCTCTCTATTTCGTGAAATTCAACATTTTAAACACAGAAAATTATGTTTGAATTTACTTTAATAGCATCATTATGTGCGTGTGTTGCATCATTGCATTTATTACATTGAAGTCTCAAATTTGAAATGAATATCGTGGCCTTTCACTGGGAGTAATCAGATGTCCTGTTACAGTAGACCCCCTTTATTAGTTCTATAAGTCAGTATACATCTATATTATCGTAGTATAAGACTTATGTTTACCTTTAGCAACTTTTTGCATTTTATTGCTAATGATCAGTAAACAAATATACCCACTTGCTTTATAGTGGCCTACATTTTACAAACTAGGTCACTATGCAGTTCCAAATTGTGAGCCCAGATTTATTTTTGTGCATTTTTTCAAAAATGTGTTTTCCATTTTAAGGTCAACCTTACTGTGAATTGTACAGACATAAGACAAGTACGTTAAGAAACGGGACTACTCAGCAGCTGGTTTCTCATGGTCAGACTTTGACCTGCACTAGTGCGCCGCTTCCTGTCAGATTGTCCATTTGTGGCAATGGCTGATAAGAGGTCGTCAATAGTGCTGATGGATCCCTGCAGATCACAGCGGTCACCCGGCAGGTCACCTTGGAACATCTGACCTCAATTCCCACTGACATCCTCAGTCGATTTCCAAGCATATTTACGCGTCAAAACAACAGCGTCGCTATCTTGCAACATCCTGCGGAGGAGGAAGAAAAAAGGCGACAATGTGTGTGAATCCTTAACTGCTTAGCCTGTGAATGCATCACCGTTTTGACAGCAGCGGCGCAGTTGAAACACGACCCGCGACTGTCGACACCTCGCACCAGCGTGTCCAATTTGCATGGATTACGTAAGAATCAAAAAGCATGCGCCAACACCTTCTGCTTGACAATTTGGGATGGCCCTGCATGATGGCGGAAGACACACACTTCTTTATGGGAAGCGTTTTGAGCATTTATTTCGTAATATCCAGCTCTCTGTCCTCACTATTGGGATGACTTTGAAATCAGGGGCGATTTGAAAATCTGAGGTTTAGGGATGGTGACTTGGGCTGAACGATTTTGAAAACTAACATAATTGAGATGTTTTCTTGTCCTCCAACCCAATAATGTGATTGCGATTTAATCGGAGATTATTCTTTTTTTCAGTGTCCTCTTCCCATGTATTTTTTAAATAAACACAATAAATTCATCGATATTCCAATTAACATTATCAGGGGCCTATGATTTTTTTTCTGGAGTAAACCAGTACCCCAATGAATCCTACTGAAAACATACGTTAGACTTGGTTTTTGCGACTTACAGTATATTAAATGCAACGGAAACATGTAAAACGCATTAACGGAATTGACTTTGGTGAAAATGAATGTAAAAAATATCCTGTCTTTGTACTTCCTCTCTGTGTCTTGATTGGAGTCATGTTCAATGTGAATGAGCATCCAGTCAGTTAGCTTGTCAGTAGCACCTTGGCTTCAAAATGAACAAATATTTATGCCACAACCTCTTTCTTACGTCCAATTCAAATGGAGGACAATGGTGCTTGCTACCTCTGACTATCTGAAATGTGTCCTAGCTTGAAAAACGTCGGCTAACTCCTAGCTAGCAATGTAAACAGTGAACTACGATTAAATACAGCAAATATTAGGAATGACAATGGTAAAAGTGTGTTGGTAAGGTACTGAGTGGTCGCTTAGGAGCTAAGAAATAGTCACCCGTCCTGGTTTAGGCCAGGTGCTTTCTACTTACAGTGTATCATTGGAAGGTAGAATATTTGTTTGTGTAAACTGCATGCTCGCTCGGAGCCCTGTAGTAGGAGGCGGGAGGAATTGGATGGAACAAACCATTTTATGAGGCAAGTGGGGTTCGAGGGTTTGTTTGTTTGTTTTTTTAATATCACATTTCACCGAGGTACTGTTTGGTAGTACGCCTTTGCTGCTTTTTAAAAATAGACATACATTAAAAAATAAAATAAATAAAAAGGAATCTCAAATTTTAGGGATGCTTGAGCATCCTCAAAAATAGGCTGGAAACACTTACTAATAGGCAAATTCAGCTCCCTATTAGTGAGCAAAATCTGCACTAGTTGACATCTGTGTTTTACTAGAACTAATAGTGACATTGTAAAATTCTACTTGTCAGCACCTACCTTTTCCTCGAATAGTATAAGTAGCTAATTTCGTTTTTGCCTTAAATTCTACTTGTCAGCACCTACCTTTTCCTCGAATCGTATAAGTAGCTAATTTCGTTTTTGCCTTACTGGTTGTAATAATTGTTGGCAGGCAGGGATTGGGTTTTATGTGTCTTTTTATTAATAACGTGGCAGAGCAACTAACATGCGGTGGACTTACTCGCAGTTGCTTCCGGGAACTCCCCCTTATAGGCGGGACCTGTCCATCAACTCAAGCATGACGTAAATAGTGTAAACTCTCGTAAAGCACTAAACATATAATAATAACCTATTATATGACATCTCCCCTTTTAAGAACGCAATAGTAATCTCTAAGTCAAATACAACATATTCACTGGGATATAGCAGAGTTAAATACAAACACATACAAACTACAACTAACCAAAATGACACTTCTATTCTAATAGCTTCAACCATGTCTATAACATTTAAGTATCATTTCTCTTTTCTCAAAATAAGATGCAATGAAAATATGAACATTTCCTTGTCTGAAATATCATCACAAATATCACTTAACACGGAGCATATCAAGTGTCAATGCTTCCCACACCCCCCCAAAAAATACAATATAGTTCACAAGTCCAGCTTAACCACTGGCCTGCTGACCCGGCCCGACCTGGTCAGCGTCTGATCCGGCGGCCGTGTTGGGGAAGAGACCATACCTGGGTCTAGAGGGACAGTCTCTGGTTCTGCAACAGTCTCAGACTGGAAACCCACCCCAGTACCTCCGGTGGATGTGGGTGAGGTAGTCTGGGCAGGCTGGGGAGTTGGTGCTACACGGAGATGGCGGCGGTTCCTCCGAAGCACAGTCCCCTTCTCGGTGCTGATGAGGTAAGAGCGCGGTGTGTCACACGCTCCCGAGACCACTGCTGGCGTAGTCCAGCCCTTCTCGTGATCGAGCTTGGTGGAGACCCTGTCCCCTGGATGAAGGTCTGGGAGGGGTCTGGCACCGTGACGGCGGTTGTAGTGGAGGGCCTGCAGCTTCTTCTCTGCAGCATCTCTTTCTCGGACGGTGTCCAGATCCGGCCATTTGGGCTGAAGGTTGGCCTCCAGTGTCGGAAGAGTCGTTTTGATTTTCCGGCCCATGAGAAGCTCTGCAGGGCTCACGCCTGTGGTGGCGGAGGGAGTTGAGCGGAAGCTCATGAGGGCAAGCAGAGGGTCTTTTTGTTGTAAGATCCTCTTGGCGGACTGAACTCCTCTCTCTGCATGTCCATTCCCTTGGGCATGGTGTGGGCTTGAGGTCATGTGCTGGAAATCATAGTCTTTTGAGAATTCCTTAAATTCCTCACTCGAGAATTGAGGTCCGTTATCTGACACAACCTCGTCTGGACAGCCAAACCTTGCAAACACTGTCTTCAGCTTTAAGACGACCTGTGAAGCTGTGGTTGTCGGCATGTAGAGTATCTCCAAGAAACGGGAGAAGTAGTCTGACACGATGAGGTAGGTGTGTTTGTTGTATTCACAGAGGTCGACTGCAAGTCTCTGCCAGGGTCGTTCAGGTAGAAGTGTTGGAATAAGAGGTTCTTTTCGCTGAGTGCTCTTCATCTCATGGCACTCTTGACAGGACTCGACCTTCTGTTTAATTTCAGATGAGACACCGGGCCACCATACAGACATATTGGCCCGCTCTCTGCACTTTGACAGACCTTGATGTCCGTCGTGTATCCGATTCAGGATGTCTGCCCTTAGAACGTGTGGTATTACCATGCGGG